TGCCAAATCTTGATAGGTCACTGGGAACCTCATAAAGATATTGGGGTTACCTGGGATTCCATATGAGGCTCTCGACATTTAGAAAGTAAGCCCTTGGGAAAGGCATGCCCCAGAACAGACCATGAAAACAGCCTGCAGAACAAGGAAAAGCTGAGTTCATATCCCACTTCCTCTATGGAGCTCATTATTTGTTTTCTTTGGTTTTGAGATTTCCTTATTGGGAAAAGGATAAAACCATTTAGAATAATCTACTTGGTAAAGTGATTGTAAAGAATTAAAATAGATAATGTATTTTAAAAAGGCTTAGCAGGATACCGGATACACGAAAGTTGCTTAATATCTGTCCCATTTCCCTGAAGGCAAGGAGGATGTGGAGGATGGTAGAATGGAGACACTGAGGGTTTTCCATCAATCTGTGTGCTTGAAGGTGAAGGTAAGGCTATTGGCTCTTCTAAAACTCAAGGAGAAGCTTGCTCTAAAGGTGACCAGGGGGCTCAGCTCAGTGGTTGAGCATCTGCCTTTTCCTTGGGTCCTGGGATCGAGTCTCAGGTCAGGCTCCTTGCATGGAGCCTGCTTCTTCCTCTGCCTATGTCTCTGCCTCTCTGTCTGTGTCTCTCATGAATAAATATTTTTTTAAAGGTGACCAGGGAGACATGGGATATATCAAAATATAGTCTCAAGTATAATGTACTTGACCCGTGGTTAGGAGTACACACTTCAGACAGATTGACAGACTCTAATACCCATTCTGCTACTTTCTAACTGTGTGCCTTTGGATAAGCTATTAAACTTCTCTGGCTGGTTTCCTTATTTGTAAAGTAGTAATAATGATACCTGTCTCCTAGGGGGTGCAAGAGACCCCTGGTTTTCTTGGCCAACCCAGCTCTTTCCTCCTGAGACTTGATTCCCTCTTCTCAAGGAAGTGCTCTTGTGGCCATGCTTATTCCACCCAAGCATGTTCCCTTGAGACTGGGCAGCACTTGATTTAGGAAGACCCAACCCACTGGCTGGGCTGATAGAACTAGCTTTTCTCTCCTTGGGGCAAGATGAAGGTCATGACAAAAAGTAAGTGCCTAACATGGTGCCCAGAATGTAATGAGGATTCAGTAGGTTTTAAATCCAGAGCAGAGGCAACATTGTGGTATCTATACTTTAACTTACAAAATTTCAGTCCACAGCAGCTATAATGTAGATACTTGGTACAAGCCTAATGGGCATTACAGGGGAAGGGGAAATTTTCCTTAGGTTTTGGAGTGACAGCTCAAACCAAGACAAGCATGATATTCTTGTCTTTATAACCCCTTCATGACAGAGACATTTCTGAATGAAGCATGCATTTATTAATGTTTTCTTTCCCCCACAAAAAGCCTAACAATTCCCATGCCAGAAATTTTAATGTCATGATGTGAGTGTAGGTAGTAGATTCAGATGTAGGAGTGCTTATTTTTAACAAGTCCAATTGGGAAACAGCAGAGGTGAGATACCATTTTTAACCACGCCTCTTTCTCATGCACACCTCTCAGTCTATAGCATTAGCCTCAGGACTAGCTGTTTCCTCACCCCATTCTCAAAAGGTTCAGCTCATTAAATGCAGCAAAACTTACTTGGCAAGGACTACACCTCATTTTTCTCATTAAACCAGAACAGGCACCATGGTTAGGAAAAGATAGGGGTCTTAGCTCCTATGATCATAAGTAGGAAGGGTCTCCATTCCTCATCTCCAAGAAAAGAAATGGTCTCCAAAATAAACAAATACAAAGAAATCCTTTCCTATTTTAATGTTAATGTCAACTATCAACCCATATGGTGAAGACAGAATTTTTACCCATCTATGCATTTTTTTATCTTTCATAGTACTTTCTCTTTTATTTCAACTTCTTATGTCATGGACATGTTATTTCCTTTTTTTCTCTTGCTATTCAAAGCTCAAGGTCAATTTGTTTTTCTTTTATAATTTTTATCCTAATTGAATGTTCTCAGCCAAATGTACCAATGATTTGATTTTTTTTTCATAAGAAAATTTGCCTGCCCACCCACCCTCCCTCCTTCTCTCTCTTTTAAAACAGGAAACTTTCTGGAATCACACAGTGGTGTGATTAATGCACTTCAGAGATAACCTAAAGTTTCCACACATGCTGAAAGATTCTGCATGCTTTGGGGGATAGCAATAAGGACTTAGGGCAAAAACCACTTCTCCAGGGCTATGCACTATGGAGTAGAGTCAATTAGACACAGCATGGCAGTCTCTGTAAACACTTCCCCTTGAGTTACATATATATGTATGTATGTGTGTATAAATGTATAGGTATATGTATAGATGTGTGTGTGTGTGTGTGTGTGTGTGTAATAATCTGTAACCAGCAAGGTATAATTCAGGCTTGTTTTCAAAGGGAGCAACAAGTCCAAATATATAGCTAGTTGTGGCAAAAGACATATAATTAGGCAAAATGGATTTAGGAGTTACATGAAGTCTCAACTGAGCCACTGTGTAAAAAACTAAATGAAGTATTGTGATTGCTGCTCTGGTGTCTAGGAAGAACAGAATATGTGGATAGTGTGTTCTGGGCAAATAAAAGGTAGTTGTTGACAGTTAGGGAGTATAGCTGGCATTCCGTGAGACTTGGACTATGGACTGTTTCACAGTGGACTGTGCTGAGGAATAAAATGTCAGTGGCTAAGGGTGCATGGAGCTCTGTTAGAGATGCGCCCAAAAGAAACGATTTGGTAAATACTATTTTGGAATTATATTTTGAGGAAAAGAAGCGCAGTAGAGAAATTCATATAGTCTGTAATTTTTCAATAGTCATAAAAATTCTCAAAGAATTGTAAACACAAGAGGATACATTATATATTACTATTTTCCCTCTACAAGTGGACTTTTCCAGTCAAGGCAGGTATATTCTGGAGAAGATAACAAGCAAAGTCTATAGTTTACAGAATTTTTCACTAAGAATACTCAAACCAATGACTAAATATTGATGATAAGCCCCCTCATAGGATTAAGAAGCTGAAACTAAATTACCACTTTTTCCTATTTGCAAATAATCTTATTTGCAAATTTGTCTCAAGGCAACTGAATGAAAAGTAGATATTCTTCTCTCTCGACAATCTCCCTGAAATAAATGGGACAAAAAAGCAATTGTCTGAGAGAGTTCCATTTTCTTAAAGAAAACATCCTGGATTAATTGACAAAAGTGCCTATTAGTCCCCATGACACCAATGCTTATGGCATCTGGGGTTTGTCTCTCAGTGTGCAATTTAAATATGTATCCATAAAATCCTTGCCAATAATAACTTCTTGTCTATTGATACTGCGTAGCTATTAAAATCTCTATTAACAATCTCATGTTGGGTTTGATAAACCTTACAGAATATGTTTTCAACACTTCAGACTTACAAGATACTTGCTAGGTAAAGTGGCAAGGACAACAATGAATAGAGTCCCCACCCTTAAACTTACAATCATACAATCACATGACAGAAACAAATATATACCAATAAAATAGGAAAATAAACATGGTTGTTTTGTTGGCAACTTTGCATGTACTTGGTGACTATGCATCAGGATTTTTCCTTTATTTTGATGATAAAATTATTCTGAAGAAGTATATTCAGATTGTGTTACCATTTGAAGTGTATTTGGCTTGAATTATGTATTTGTTAATTAAAGATTTTATTTATTTGTTTCTTTCTTTAGAGACCATGAGTGTGCTTGTGGGTGGGGATAGAGGCAGAGGCTGAGGTAGGGAAAGAATCTCCAGCAGGCTGAGAGCTGAGCCTGGAGCCCAATGCTGGGCTTGATCTCACGACCCCGAGACCATGACCTGAGCCAAAATCAAGAGCTGGATGCCTAACTGACTGAACCACTCAGGCACCTCTACTTGAGTTATTTGAAAGGGAAAATGTTTTATGGAACAGGTATGCCTGTGCAGCTATTAAGATGCTATTATAATGAAGTATTATATAATACTATTAAGCTGATGATAACTTTGGTTCCTATACCATTACAGGCATGGGACACAGCAGAAACTCCTGATTATAAGTCAAATGTAGACCCTTAATGTCTCCCCTCCAAAAACCTATGTAATCTGAAGAAGATAAACAGCTATCAAATAGATTGTCACATTTGACAAACCTTTAAATTCTTCTCAGTAGCTATCTATGAAGTTATCAAATTGCAAATGTCCTGTCTAGAGAAGATACCTCCCTCCCATTTATTTATATATATTGGAAAGCTTTTTGAAGTTGTATGTTCACTAAGGGTGTGGTGACTGAGATAATCTAAGGGGAATGAAAACTTGCAGGAGAACAGATATGATTATAATGTGGTTAGCTTCCGCTTCCTGCTCTAAAACTCTTTTTGAGAAAGAAGTTGTTTCACAGATTCTAAAAACTTTCAGAAATGCCTGAGAGGGCAGGTGGGTTCAGTATAACTTTCCCTAGGTTAAATGAAAGCTCTTTATCCTCGAGCTGGTAATCCTAATACACCTCTGACACAAGACAGATATTCGCTGTTGTTCAGTGAATGTTTATTGAATTAAGGTACTTTATGCACTTTTCTGGTCAACAAACCATTCCTCTTTCCTTCCTTCCAATGGCAGACTACAGAGAAATGTCTTAAATAAAATACATTCATTTGATCTTATCATAAATAATTTTATGACATTATGTCTTAACTCAAGATTAAGACATAAAAACAAACAAGGAGAGTAAAAAATACTCATTTGAAATAACCCATTTATAATTAAAAGTCAGAGCTCATTCTATGGCATGCTCTTGATTTTAGTTCCTACCAAGATGAGACATGTTAGAAAGAGGTTAGTACTTTCTATTACGTTAGTACCAAAGAGTTGTTAGTTTTGAACTGATTAAAACTTTCCTCCAAACTCGAGTATTTATAAACAGAAGTTCTAGTTTGTAAAAATAAATCAATGTTGATCTTGTCAAAGGGACTAGGAATAAGAACAAACACACAATCAAATAAGCAAGTAGAAACTTACTGTATCACGTTGCCTGTTATCTTTCCCTGATATTATCAAGAAGTAGTTCCATGTCAATAGTAACAACAAAACCAGTGGTATCATGTAGAGCTCAAAGTTCCAGACAACAAAGAGAAAGAGCTGGAGGAGGAGAAGAGAAAAAAAGATGAGTCAACTCTGACTTTCATTAAATGGACGCTCTTATCCATACTCCACTTGAAATACACAAAACTAAATGCTTCAGAATGGAAAGATTTATCTTGAAAACAAAGCCTTGAGAACCTGTGAGGCATTTTTCTAAAAGCACAACTGACCCCTGGCAAGTTACTGTTAAGATTTTTACTTTAATTTCAGTGAAGGAAAACTGACATCATTACACTGCCAATGAGGCATTTTTAATTTTTCTCATCTAGTGAAATTATTGTGAGGTTGGACAAAATAAAGTTAAGGGAAAAAAACGGCTGCCAAATAAGCTTCACTACATTGTCAGATATAGCTGATTTATCTGCCTTAATGATAAAGAATGAATCACTGTTTAATATCATGGACTTTTTTTTAATCTCACAAAGTAACATGCATAATAGGCAGATGAAAATACCAAGTTTGCACCAGAGAGTCAAACATCTCACACGATGAATAAAAGCACTGCTACCAATAAGTGTAAAAATAGATTGGCTTAATGCTTAGCATTACCAAAGAAATCAAATAGCTATTTAAAAAATAGAATAACTTGTCAAAGGAAATTTTTAAATGTCTATGTCTATTATCCTTGAAAACTACTGACTCTAAGTATATACATTATTTTTTAAATGTAAGACAAATACTACATTAAGAACTCACCTAGCCTGGCAGGAGGAGCCATTCTAAGAGCATCTGCATTGTAAAGTAAGCATCATAGTGTACAAAGTGTGACTTGCCCTCACCACCTCCCCCCCCCACCACCACCATTCTCTTACAATCCTGAAGAGATCATCTAAATTCTCTGGATCTGTGGCTGCAGCTGTCAAATGAAGCAACGTTAAGTCAAGTGATTTCGTGAGGGTAGTGAAGAGTAGGATTCTACTCCTAATGCTGACTAGTCCCGTAACTTCTGGCACCATCCTCCCCTAAGTTTTTGCCTCTGAAAAACAGAGTGATGTGTATCCACCTGACAGGCTATGAAAATTAAATAGCTGAAATGTGTTAAGATGTCAACACACTGCTTGGTACCCAGTAAGTGCCCCCCAAATATTTGTATTATTGTGCAAATGCTTATCAATACCTTACAAAACTCAGATTGTTAACTAATATCAACTAAGGTCCTCAGGTAATACTTATTCTATTACTGAGAAGTGGAAAGTCATCTGCCTGCCAAGATTTAGGTGAGCCATAGTATAAGTGGGAATTTGATCCAGCTGGTTGGGGTAACATAGATATCATGCATTTAACAGGCCAGGAGGGTTAAGAGCAATGCCCTGAGAACACTCACGTCAGGCACGGCAGCATGGACCATTTGCAGCCTTCTTAATACACTTCAGCCAAGTCTACAGCCTAATAGGATGGCAGAGAAAAGGAACCTGTATAAAGTGGTAGAGAAACCCACGGCCTAAAGGCCAGCAGACAAATTCCAGGCCTCAGAAAGTCATTCTTCCTCAGTGTTTTCACTTCTAAACACAGGTCTGTAGACCCAATAACCTTTATCATCCCTTCCCTAATATTTAAAACAGATTTATGGCATTATTGTGCCATCTTTTTTTTTAATTTTTATTTATTTATGATAGTCACAGAGAGAGAGAGAGGCAGTGACATAGGCAGAGGGAGAAGCAGGCTCCATGCACCGGGAGCCGGATGTGGGATTCGATCCCAGGTCTCCAGGATCACGCCCTGGGCCAAAGGCAGGCGCCAAACCGCTGCGCCACCCAGGGATCCCTGTGCCATCTTTTTTTTAAAAAAAATGTGACATTAAATCCTGATTCTTGGGATATTCATAACCCAGATACACACCAACAAACAATGATTTAGTAGCCCAAGAAATGGCTTTCGGACAGAATTACACGGTAACTACAGATTCAAGTTCCTGAATAAGAAAAATTTCAAATATATCAATGAATGAGACATGAACCTCATCTTTCCTTTCACAAGTAGAAGGATTTCCAGAAAAATAAAATATTTCTATTTAATTTTTTGAAATTTATGCGATATGTATAAAGAGGATACAAATTATAATGGATGGTTATGATTATTCTATTAAAATATAGTTTTAAAAAGATAATTCTTTATTCAGGAAGTGAATTAAGGCAAATTTGACAGATATGAACACATGTAAAAGGGAAAATTATTTTTGGCTATAATCCATATTAATTCTTTACACATTTATTTGTAAAATTTAGGTAGTTACTAGAATATAAGTTCTTTAAGGATAAGGACTTTTTCTTTTTGATCATGGTTCTATCCCAGAGTCCAGAACAGTGCTTGGAAATAAAAGGTGTTCAATAAATACTTGCCACATTAATGAATAGGTACTAGGTTCCCAAGTCTTTTTTTTTTTTTTTAAGATTTTATTTATTTATTCATGAGAGACACAGGCAGAGGGAGAAGCAGGCTCCATTTAGGGAGCCCAATGTGGGACTCGATCCTGGGACTCCAAAATCACACCCTGGGCTGAAGGGAGGCTCTTAACTGCTGAGCCACCCAGGTGTCCCCCAAGTCTTTTAACATAAATCTACCTAATTGTCTTAGTAAAAGTACTATATAGCCACTATATAACATCAGGTAACTTTGTGAAAATATATTCAGAATTACAACCTGGGATGCCACTAACCAATTTCTCCCTGAGGCACATAAAGTTTCTCTTTCCATTCTGGCCACACACTCATAATCCATCTTGTGTATTGTGTTTTGACCACCATCTTTCCTTTTGGACTTTGTTATATGTTTGCCTCTTCTGAGGATGTTCACTTGACTTGGTGTGTTCTGGACTCATGGATGGACTCAGACGATTCTAAAGCTAAGTATCACCAACTGTATTTATTTTAAATCTATGTTCCATTCTGTAATGTCCACCCACTGGTGTCAGAGTTCTGATGTCACCCAAAATAAAGTTACTTGGAATGTCTATGTGTTGGAGTTAGTTGGAGGATAGGTATGGCATAGAATAAACTTTCTAGATGATAACTAAGTAATCAAGACACCTATCATGCTTTTTTCTTCTCTAGATACAACATCACTAGTCGCTTAAAGAACCAGTCCACAAGGTATGGTTTCTGGGCACATCTCTATTGCGGACATCATCGTCTCACCATATCCAAATCCATACAGTAATAGCTTTCTTAAAATACAGCACTCAGAACTGACACAACACATCTAATTGATACCTGTGGTATTTATGGCTTAACAACATGGGCACCAGAATACAGGATGAGGAGAAATATAGAAAAGAGGGAAAAAAAGGGTAGAGTTATATTAGTTTCATGGATCCTGGCAGTGGAAAAATAATCTTCCCTATTTTGTGTTAACAATCTAGTATTTGGGTAACTAAGTATGGAACCTCTGCTGTTGATAATATCTTTTTTTTTTTTAAGGAAGAGAGCTTTGAATAAATTCTAAATACAAAAGCACTCATTTTTTTCTTCCTCAATATCTAACTGGAGATTTTAAAATATCAAATTAATAAAGAACAAATACCGATTAACAATAAAATATACTTACTGAACATTTACTATGTACTATATGCTACATAATAGTTGATGTTCAAAATTAGGATATGACATGGTCTCTTCGGATTGCTAGGAATCACTAAGGAAAAAAAGCAATGATTCACTATAGTATTAGTGATGATTATAATACTTGTTAGCAGGAGAGGATCCTCTAATAAAGAGTGCCCTCAGAGGAGGAAGAGGGTCATCTAGCTTTTAGCCAAAACAATATAGGATCTATCCTTGGTCCTGATTCCACTTATTCCTAAATTTGAGGGAAAAAACTCAGATATAACAGGCTAAAATGGGGTGGGAAAAGAAATCAAGGAATAATTTAAAAAAGAACCCCTGACACATTCACAGAATATAAATACAAACCATAAAAGTCTTAGTATTTATCCTGACCCATACTGCCAGAACCCAAACTGAACCTGGTCCAAGTTTCTGACCCACAGAGTCATCACTCAATAAATGGTAGTTGCCTTAAGCTAGCTAATTATGGAGTGGTTTGTTATACAGCAAAAGTTAACTGACACATATTCTTTTTCCAAGAAGACAATAGTATAGAGTAAATATGGTCTGGACCAGAGGACTAAAAAGTGGTTTTAGTTCAATTTCTATTCGATCATCACAGGACCATGAGCACCTCAGTCATCCTTTTTTATTTGAGTCTATTATTTTTCAAATGGAAATGGTAACACCTGCCTTTATTACAAGTTTGGCTATGGGGAACAACTCCTGTAATGTATATGAAAGCACTTTATCACAAAGTGCTCAATAAGTCTAAGTATTATCAATTTAATGCTTTTCATATTTAAAATTGTTTCTGAAAAATTAAAAAACATATAAACTAATACTCCAGGAATGGTCAATACCATAATTCCCCTTTAAGCAGTTATAGAAGACGGATGGTGTTTCTTCGAGGGATTTGTATGTGAAAGGGGTTTGTTGGAAAGAAATCATAAGTGTTAAATAGAGGGATTGCTGTTATAATTTTTGCTAATAGTTGAAACAAGAAAAATCCAGGTCCTTACATAAACTCATTATTTCTAGTAAATAGCATTAACACACATTGCAGATTTTGGCAACTCCAGACTTAAATTAGGTTTTTAAACGTTAACCATTTTTAATGGCCTCATACCCCAGATATAAAAGAATCTCGTTCTGAACTAGCAGGTTTTGGATTATCAATTCCTGTATATATTTTTAAAATTTTAAATCCAAATACCTTTTATCTAAATCAATGTTACCTCGCCTAGGATATTAGCATCAATATTGCAGAATGCAATTATTTGGTGTCTATTTGGGCTAGACTTGAAAAGCAATCTAAATTTTAATCATGACTATTCAGAGTGGCTTTTTTGACAATTTATAATTTACCGAAAGGTAAATAATGTAATTCATCCTAACAAATGTCATATATCACATTATATAAAATGAACTTTAGAGGAAAAGTCCTGAGAGGCA